CCAGGGCGGGCTCAGCCAGCAGAGTCAGGGAGCAGCACCAACAGCTCAGGGCTGGGGGGAGGTTTGTGATTTTGGGAGATGCTGCAAGGCAGGAGGCTCCGGAGGGGACTGGAAAGCACTGCTGGATCTGCTAGTGCATCTCACAGCATCAGGGAATGCCTTGGCACTTCCTTATCCCTTAATTTACCATTAAAATGCATCAAACTGAACAGGAGAGCAGGAAAAAAACTGAACCCTGTGCAGCTTTCTCACAGAACTCCAGACTGGGTTGGGTTGGAAGGACCTTAAAGATGATCCCATCCCACCCCATGCCTTGGGCAGGGAGACCTTCCCCTAGCCCAGGCTGCTCCAAGCCATGTCCAACCTGTTCATTACACATGACCATAGCTTGGCTCAGCTTTCATTGAGCTGCTCTGAGCAACATGTGCCAGAGCCTCTCCACCCTCCCAGGGAGGAATCCCTTCCCAATCTCTTTGTTATTTTCACAAAACATCCAATTAGTTCTTCTTCCTTCCCCTCCCAACACTCTGTGTGCCTCTGCCTTTGTGTTCAGAACAAGTGCAGGGAAGGAAATGTTCCTTTTGGAGGAGGGAGGCAGAAGAGGGGAAAGCAAGGGAGGAGGAACAACAATTCCCCAACCAGATTTGTCATGCCAGGGAAAAAAAGAGTTGCTTCAGCCTCTGTGTGCAGCTGGATGTGTGCCTGGAGTGACTCTCCCCTGGGCCTGTGGCCAGTGGGGACACACAGCTGGATCCTGGACACTGCAGCAGAGCCTCTGGAATCATGGAATCCTAGAAAATCCTGGATCCAAGGGATCCACAAGGCTCACAGAAGGCCTTGCAGCTAACTACCCTCTCTGCCCCCAGGGCTGAGCACGGAGACTGTGACCTGGCACAGGATGGGAGGCACCACTGGATTTGTCCACACATCTCTGGCTCTCAGCACCTTTCTGGGTAAGGATTTCCCATGGGAGGGGTGGGAAGGGGCTGTGGAGGTGTCAAACAGCACATCCCCTGGGGCACACAGTGAATGTGATGTGTTGCTCACCTGGGATCCCTCTCCATGGGCTGCTCTGATGCTGAAGTCCAATTCTCCAGGTGGTTTCTGTCCTTGGAATGTGTCTGTGCCATTCCCAACTGGCTGATGTATCTCTCCCCCTTTCTAAACCCAAATTCAGATGGAAACAGAGGATGCAGGAGGAATTTCCTCCTCCCAGTGGGACTCACTCGTGGCAAAGCCACTTCACCTCCTGGTGTGTCTAGGGATGCTTTGTTGGCCATACCCTGAGTGCAAAGATCCCTCATCCATCAGGGACCACTTCTGGATCTGTGGGAGGCTCGGGCTGCTCCCTGCAGGTCCCTTTTGAGCAGGGAGACATTTCATTTCAGCCAGCTGAGGATTAGATAATGTCCTGGAGCTAATTCATCAGCGCAGGCAGAGCCTCCTGGCCTGTCCCTATAAATATCTAATTACCTTTCAATGTTCTCTGGGTCCCCAAGGAGGCAGAGGGAGGGGGGAGGCTGCCCTAGATGGGGAGGCAATTAGCCTGTTTGGAAATTGGTCTGACCCACATCTGCCCACGGAGATGGAGTTGGATTCTCCCATTAACCACCTGAGTTTTGCTCCCCAGCCAAGCTGAGCCCACCAGAAGTGACCCAGTGGGAAGCCTGGGGAGGGTGATTTGCTCTGACCTTTGGCTGATGATGCAATGGATCTCAGGAGCAGCTGGGACAGCCAGAAATCCTCACTGGGAACATGAGTGAGAGACCAGGGACAAAATGATAGATGAGGCTCGAGGAAACACTTGCAGTGGGTGAAGAGCCAAAGTCTCCAGGTCTGGAGCAATGAGGAAAGGTTTAAAGCTTCTAAGCACACAGAGATGACTCTGTAAAACCTAAAAATCTCCTTGGCTTTTGTTCATTTGGTAAAAGCTCTGGAAAATCCTGAAATCTAAGGCTAGACAAAGCCCTGACCCTTCACTCCCCTGAAAGCTTCTGGTTAAAAATAATTCTCTGCTGCTCTGGGAGCTGCTCCTCAAAGAGAACCACTTGGATCCTGTGCTCATGTGCCTTCAGATCTCCTAAAAACCCAATTAATTGCCAAGTCCCTGATGAGCTGAGGCTGCAGCCTGTGGTCAGTGCTCTGGAGCCACTGGTGATGTCCTCACAGACTGGAATTCAGCTTGGAAAACATCCAGCTGAGGTTTTCAGCATTTCCTGGGCTGCACAGCTGGGGCAGAGCTCAGCACAAAGGGAAGGTGCTCAACCTCCTGCACACCTGTGCTGGCCAGGTCTGACTCTCAGCACACTCCTAAAAACAGCCTGCAAGGGATGCAAACATCCAGCCAGGAATGAGCCAGAGCTCGGGGAGGCTCTGGACTCACCTCCCTGCAGTTGCTTCTCCAAATCTCAGCTCCCACTTGATCCTCTTTCACCTGTTTCTCCTTCTTTTGGTGTTAACATTGAGTTGCCCTCACGACTGAGGTTGTTCTAGAGGCACAATGGTGTATTGACCATC